ATCGAAATGGAGTATCAGACAAAGTTTAAAAAATTAAAGTCTTTCTAAGAAAAATATACAGTAATCCCCCGAATAGCGCGCATAAAGGGTATCCCACGGAAAAAAAAAAACTCATTAGAAAATTACCTATTGCGTATTTTCTCTTGAAAATTTGGGTAGAAGTAGTTTAGAGTGTATTGTTTACACTGTAGTTTTATCAACAATCAATACGAAACTAACGATTTTAAATTGGCTCACTACTTGACTAGCCTATTGGTCCCAAGCAAAACATTAACGTACCCCATTCTAGTCGAAATTCTAGTACTACGCAATGTTTGTTTTGATTCGCTATGAAAGTTTGACAGATAAAATGAGGGGTTATTGGTTTTTCCTATGTTTCGAGGGGTGCATCGATTAGCTTGGGACCGAAGAGAGAACCAGAGCTGAGCCAAAAAGTTGAGAACGTTATTTCGGGACATTCAAGCGATCTGCTCATATGGCAAACGGAGTGCGCCGTTCGTAACTACCGGGACTATAAATGGGGAGATCTACCTCAAGGAGTGTCTACAGAAGCGTCTGCTTCCTCTGTTGAAGCAACACGAGGGCCCTACGATCTTCTGGCCGGATCTATCTTCGTGCCACTATTCAAATGTTGTCCTGGAGTGGTACGAAGCCAACGGCGTCACTTTCGTACCCAAGGACATGAACTTCCCAAACGCACCGGAACTAAGGCCCATCGAAAAATACTGGGCTATTATGAAGCAGGCACTACGGAAGCATCCCAAGGAGGTCAAATCTGAGGAAGGCATGATGAAAAAGTGGGTTTCCGTACAGAAGGAGCTGCAACCAGATGTTGTACAGAACCTAATGAGTGGAGTATTGAAGTTGAATGAAATAAATATGCCAAAAATTTACTAAAGGGTTATATTTGATTGTCTGAAAGTTTGAGAAGAAAGGCAATTTTCTACAGAGTTTTTCCGTGATGATTGATGTCCTTTTCGAAGAAATCCACCCTGTTGCTTCGATACCACTGTAGGACTTCTCCGCTGTAGTGGCAGCTTGCCTAATCAGGCCACAACTTTACAGGTCCATTGTAAGCCTTAATGTACGGAAGAATACGTTTTTTTCAGGCGCTCCTGCTTGCACATTTTGGAATCCATAGTCTTGATTGTCAAGAAAACCTAGGTTATTTGTCCGGTTGTACTTTGTAAGAACCTCATTGTACAACTTCCGGGCACGTCTTTTGGCCACTAGATTCTGCTTCAATGTCCTGTTTGGTTGCTTACTGGCCCGAAAAGATTGAAATCCTTCTCACTGAGGAATATTTCTGACGGTGCTTTGGCTGGTATTGCATTTCTTGGCGATGTTATAATCCGACAGTCCTGGGTTTGCCCAAACCGTTCTCAACACCTTCAACTGTAGCTCCCGATCCTTAATTCCACTGCCGATCGATAGTATGCCGCTCACGGAAACGTTTGAGAACATTGCCCAAGCAACAATTTTTGTTTTATCGAAGTTTTATAGCAGTTGATAAATCCAAATTATAAAACTTTCACTGACGACCACATTGTTTTAACAACCTCCTGACGACAGCTATATAGCCATGTCATGGCCAATTGGCCCAGTTGTAATGCAATTATTAAAACTTGATATGTGAACCAGCTTAGGAGCATCGGTTTGATTTCAGTTATATCATATTCTTCACGTCGTTGTAGAAATGGTATGCTTAAAACTTTCTCCTGGCCAGAAAGTCAATCCAACCTCTTGAAGACTACTATAAAGCTATGTTACAACTACATAAATCGCTCCTGAAAAGTTGGTAAAACTTCATATGCAAAACATTTTGATAACTTTGATAGTTTTAATTTGGATTTATTTGGTTGATGGGTTGCATTGATTATAGTTTTATTGTGGTTTTATTCTTTTGATGTTCGATATGTGAAATCATCACAAATGTCAATGTGTAAAACAATATAATCTAGTATATTGAAAACAAAACGGTTTAATTACCGTTTTTAATCAACTTGAATACACTTGAGATCATGCCGTTCATTATTTATGGTGAATATTATACTAAATAGTAGCATAAATTCACTGCGCCTCATGAATATTAAAATATAGGAATATTTTTATTTGATTTACATTAGAACCGTATTTTGAAAAATCATTAAAATATATTCCATTTAAGAAAAAAAAACTGTTTCTGTCGTTCAATAATGACCAGACACATATTGAAGCATTATGCATAGTTGTATGTCTGTGTTTTTCCTATCCATTAAGGGAATTCTTCGTCATATTATGTAAAATTTTCTCCTACGGCGACATTTTTTTTTACTATCTAACTTGTCGCTCCTCTGAAATGCCTCAATAGGAATCACTCTCCTATGATAGAATTTTAAAGCATAACATAAACTAGCGGTTATATCAACCGGTCTGCACTCGTGTTTATTTCAGTTACCATGGGGACGTAATTTGTGATTAGCCCCGGTCCCTTTCAAATTGTATCATTATTTATGTACTACCTTAAATTTGAAATGACGTTTCACATTCATCTAGAGATGGCCGGTTTTCATTCGAATAATCGGTTTATCGATTAACGAACCGAATAGTTATTATTTGTAATCGGTTATATCATGCCAACATAAGCATTAACTTCTCCAGAGGAGTTTGGAGGCGAACCAGCCCAAGGCTGAAAGCCTCCTTAATAAAGCTAAATAATAATAATTCTCCAGAGGATCATCACACCTTCGTTTCAAACATGTGCTGCACTCTCATTGTAGGAAAAATGACAGCACAGCGAACAACAATCAATCGATTAGTTGTTAATCGAGTAATTACAAAATAGGACATCTATGATTATGGTGTGATTGTTTTGATAAAAAAGAGCGCAAAATTTCATCTCTACCGAGGGGGCAGCAAAATCACAAAATTACCTTGCATACGGGGGGTATTCATTGGACGAAAGGGACCGTGAAAGAGGACACTAAAATAGAATGTTTTTCTTCCGACTGTTTCATCTTAGTATTCTTCTTTGGTTATATCGTAGCATTTCCTAGTCTGTCTTGAGAGCGTCAAATTTTATGTTGATTGTATAGATTGCTTGCTGGTTATATTACGTACATGTCAGTTCAAATTTACTCTAAAGTGAGTAAAATTCCACTCACTTTCGTTAAAAGTGGAACTACTCTAAAGTGAGTAACCCCATGTTTACTCACTTTTGAGTATTGTATGAATTTGTCAAAATCTGAGTAGCACTTACTCAGTTTCGGTTTTCGCAAAATTAGCACAACTAAGTAAAGGCTACTCAGTTTTGTAAATATTATATTTTGACAGGAAATTATTAGATCGAAACTCTTTTGCAGCATAATAAAAACGATTTATTTTGTCACAACAGAATTATTTAAAAAAATGAAATTTTATAAACTCTAATCAATAAATTGATAATAATTCTGCTTATAAAGCGATTCTACCGAAGGCCACTGCTGCTAGCATGTTATCACTTCCGTGTGCTATTTCCATTCCGGGAAGTAACCAGGGATGTAAGCGGCTTTCTGGCACAACTTACGGATCAGTTTCCCAGCATTTTTTTCCTGAAAATTAAATTCTTTTTGAATATATTACTCATAAAGCTTACTTGCAATTCTCTCATAGTGAACTTTCCTTTGGATCGAGCTTGGGATTCTGAAGTTCACAACCAAAAGTTGTTGCAGAAGTTCAGAAAAACGAAACCTGTGTAAATTTGGGCTGAAATAAAGTTTATCTTAGGAAAAACACCAACTGCTACTCACGCTAGTTACTAGCTCAGAAAAGTTTCACAGAACGCTAAAACTTTCACTCTTTGAACGCTTTGTGGGAATTTCTCGGGGAATTCGCTTTCAGCCCAGGACTTCAAAATTTTCGGACGTTTATTACATTTGATCTTACTCAAAACAGTAAAGATCCTTATTTTTTTAATTAGAGTACATGTTACTCACTTTGTTAAATTAATGTTACTCAGTTTTGACATTTAGCATACAAATACGAAACTGAGTCAAAGTTACTCACTTTAGAGTAAAATCAGACGAGCGTGTATAGAATCAAAAGAAAACAAAAACATTGAATGTCCACTGCTCTGCCGCTACCTAAGAGGAAGAGCAGACAACTGGCTTACTTTTGTCTGTGACGTGTTCTTCTTCTCTCGCGGAAACGACCGTACAAAAACTATTTCATTAAGGGCGACGCAGTCGACTGTCCAAATACAAGAAAATAGATTTCTTGTTGTAAAAATTCTCGCATTTCTATACCATTCAATCAGGCGCTGGTTCATAAAAGCCCCCTATTAACCACTTCATTCGAGCAGTTAAAATGACTTTTACTACCACTCGAACTTTGAAATAAAACATTTGAGATTTTTCTTCTAGAACCACGAGAAAAGTAGCGTTTCATAAAAAAAAAATTGAAATTAGTTGGTTCAGTTTTGAGGAATCTCTGGTAGAAAGTCACGCCAAAACTGCTTGACAAAGTGGTCAATTGTCTCCTCTTCCTCTTAGGCCGCTACCAATCTGCTTTAATCACAGCAACCATCGGTTTGATTGTAAGCAAAACAAAAAGGGAAACAGCTCTCAAACCAAGTAAGATTTCCAAATTAATTTGTGCTATTATTATCAAACAAAAAGTAATTCACAGCGTGACCTTCAAGATTGTTCAAACATTCGAAGAAGATGAGCAGTGCCTCAGTGTTGTCCTTTCGGGCTGGGAGAAAGAAAATAAATTATGGTGGCCAAAGGCAACAAGTGCTGCTAAATTGCTGCGTGATGAACATTCGCGTCCCACATCCAAATGGCAACGGATGGAGTGCATCAGGAAGCGAAAATACCGCACCAGGCTGGAGGCAGAAGCAGAACTTGAAAAGATGGAACCGCTTCCCGATACCGAGGCGGAGGAGAGGATTATGGTTCCATGCAAAAATGGTGCCTCAAATTCGAGCGTACCAAAATATGTACCGAAAAACTTCAACGACTTCCTAACGCCTGCTAATCCTAATGTCCCGCTTGAAATACAAACGGATTATCTTCAACCCGTGCAAGACGAAGTTGAAGACGCTTCGGTAAGTTAAACTAAAATATGTGATTTGATCTCAATGTACCTAATCGTAAATTTTCTTTTAGCTTACTTTGCAGCTGTCCGATGGAGCCATCCAGAATTTTGTATACGTACCTACCGCAAATTGATCAAGATCCTGGAGAAGGTACAAGTGGAGGCAGAGTTTTGATTCAGCCGATCGACAACAACATCAGCTATCAGTCAGTATCATTGGAGGACGTTGAAGCGAACCAAACGTTGATTATTGGTAACCAGGCAAACATAATCAACAGCCTCGCTCAATTGAAATCGCGCTTGGATTACATCAATGATAGGGTCCTGCAAATTGAATCAGGTTCTCTTGGAAACGCCTCGGGTGTCCATTCAGAAGTATTTTTGAAACCTATTGAAACACTGGAAATGCTGAATGAATTGGAGAAGATATTGAAAGATGACACCGTCATGGTTAAATACGTCAAGACCATGAGCCACATTTGTGGTAAAACCGGAAAAGAGGATGGCCTTGACTGCTGTTATCGATTAATTGATCATTTTATGACTCGACAGTCTCTGACGACCTGTTCATGGACAGCGAACTCGAGAGACAATGCTGATGCTGAAGAGTCAAATGTAGAGTCTAAATCACAGATTAAAGTTCCGTTTCTGATGTACAAGAAAATTCGAAAGCTGTTTTTGAAACTGGTCCTGCAGGCAGCCCAAGTAACATTGCAAGTTTTATCGAGGTTTTAAAGCATTCTACAAGTCTTAACAATGGTCTACAAAACCCTCATAAAACCAAATTTGTTACTTGGGAGATAACGACTGCACAGCTATCAAATGTGAAGAGTTTTTTAAACGGGTACTGAAAAACAGCAAGCAACGATTGCTGGCCAAAACAGTATCGAAACATAAGAATCGTCCGAAAAATACCCGTCAACAGGAAGCTGAACAGAATCCTCAATGTTAGAGTAAATACACCAGTTATGGCTGAACGTTCCTTAAGGGTTTGTTCCAGTTATAGCCTATGGAAATCCTATAGGCCATAACTGGAACACACCATGATAGGCACGTATAGCCGTCACTGGTACATCTACCGTATATATTTTATGGACCTGATTGGAGATGTGGTAGCAGATATTTTCTTCAGTAATGTTTTAACGATTAAAATAAATTTGACTTGTTCTTGGTTTTATTCTTTATTTTTTCTCTAAGGGATCATCCATTGATTATGTCACACTTTTAGGGGGAGGAGGGGGTTTTGGAAACTGTGACGAGACAAAAAAAAATTAAGGGGCCTTATTACGGGTGTCACTTCACGGTGAAAACAAAGTGAAGTGACCAGTTGTCACTCACGGTGAAGTGATTGCCATGTAAATCAAATGGGAATCACTTCACCGTGAGTGATAAGTTGTCACTTCACCGTGAAGTGACATCGGTAATAAGGGCCAAGATCTATTCAAAAAATATGACAAAGGGGGGAGGGGGGTTTAAAATGGGCTAAATTTGAGTGACATAATTAATGGACCATCTCTAATGAAAGACTTCTTCACAAAGTATGCAGCAACGGAAAAAAAAAACAGAATCAGAATCATTAATGGGAATACAGATTATTTAACATTTAACTTTTGAAAGAACATACGGTTTTACAGAACTGGATTTACAATCAGATTGATAGATATTAAGTACATTTGGTCGTATCGGTGTCTCAAAAAACGATTTTAAGTGATTTATTTTATTTTATTTTTATTTTACTAGTCTTCGAACTGATCGTACAGACAGATATTGCTATTCACTAATCCTATTTCTAAACATTGTCTTAGATATTTATATTAAAATCAAAAAGGACAAATACTTCATTAAAACAACGACAACCAACATCAAACGGATGGTTCTGTCCATAAAGAGTGCGGTGCACAGGAAGGCGGAGAAAATCTGCACGCCGGATCGTTCTGCCCAGAATATTTACATTTATATTGCTCAGCAGTACTGAGCAGTCAACGTTGCTCTTCAGGATGTCAAATATAAAAAGCCGCTGCAACAGGATCCTCCTACTAGCCAAGGTCGGTAGATGTATCAAGGCGCAGCGATGCTCGTAGGGTGGTAATCGAACCGGATCATTCCACGGAAGTAAACGAAGTGCAAATCGAAGAAAGTTTCTTTGAATACGCTCGATCCGGTTAATCTGAACGACATAGTATGGCGCCCACACCAGCACTCCATATTCAAGTATGCTGCGTACCAGCGCGCAGTAGAGACTTTTCAAGCAATGAATGTCTTCAAACTGCTGCGTGTTTCGTTTGATGAATCCAAGCACTGCGTACGCCTTGCACGAAAACAAATCCGATTCCATTTTCGTGAATAAAAAATCATGAAATGAAAAAGCTTGCCATCCCATGAAATCGTAACAATGATTCCTGATTTCGGGATGTAAATTCATGATTTCATAATGCAGAGGAATTAAGACCGCTACAAGCGTTACACGTTCTTGGCAAACCGTGTTCATAAACCGCACTACATAGGTATCTCTTATACGCCTTTTGCCTCCCATCTTATACAAGAACTGATAGTCTAGTGGTCAAAGTATGGGTTTAGGGATCTCAAGGTTCTTGGTTCGAATCCAGTCTGATGCTTTATTTAATTCTTTTACATTTTTTGGTTAACAATTAAACCCATGAATTTAGCTCATGATTTCAACTCTGACGATTCATGATTTTGGGAATGTTTGCTGCGTTACGCAAAAGTTGCTCATGATATCATGAATATTATTCATGGTGTATTTTCATAACGTGAAAATACGCTGTGTTCATGAAATCATGAGTCATTTTTCTCATTTCGGAGTTCGGATTTTTTCCCGTGTGGCGGTCGTTGCAGCTATGTGTTGGGTAAACCTCAGCTTACTGTCAAGTAGTACACCCAGATCTTTAACAGTGCTCACTCTGTCGATACTATAGTTGTCAACATTCGATAATCGAAAACGGTCGCCATCCTTGTTCGATAGAAAGAAATTACATTACATTTTCGGGCATTTACATCCATTCCGTTTAGCCTGCACCAGTGTAGTAACGCGTCGCTGTCAGCTTGTATGGAATGAACTAACGATGAAACTACCCGAAAGAACTTCAAATCATCGGCAAACATTACCTTCGGAGATTTAATCGTTTCGCAAAGATCGTTGGCGAATATCACAAAAAGATGTGGGCCCAAATGGCTCGCTTGAGGCACACCAGATGTTATATCGAATGGGTCAGAGCTCGTTCCATCAAGGCGAACGTAGGCGCTGCGCTCAGTTAGGTAGGAAAATATTCAGCGAGTCAACCAGGCGGGTAGGCCCATTCTGTCCAATTTGTCCACGGCTAAAGAATGCGGCACTCTATCGAACGCTTTAGAGAAGTCGATATAGATGGCATCGATTTGTTGTCTCATTTCCAGTGCGTTGACCAACGAGGAAACATATGCCATCAGGTTGGTAGTGGTAGAGCGTTTTTTCACGAATCCGTGCTGGAATTCGGAAATAATTTGATGAACGTGTGGATAAAACGAATCGAAGACGAGGCTTTCAAAAATCTTTGGCAAGCAGCTCAAAATTGATATGCCACGGTAGTTCTCTACGTTGTGGTTACTACCAGCTTTATGTATGGGAGTAATGGCAGCAGTTTTCCAAGCACTCGGAAAACGCCTTCCGCCATGGAACGATTAAAAAGAATTGTGGCGGGAACGGAAAGCGAAACGGCGCAGTTCTTGATAAACAACTAGAACCTGCGATCTAGAGTTTCAACTAATCCATGTTGTTCAGTTATACACTTCAAAGCTACTATATGATTATCAGTTGTTAAGAACCATTTATTACTGTGATCTGTACTCAACGTAAAATTTTCCAATTGTTTTTTAGAGAATGTTCTAGAGTTGCCTGAAGAATTTGCTTGACTTCGATCATTGTTTTCCGGTTGTGAAAAGATTTCGTTTTTCAAAACTGGTTGGTTATATTTAGGAGTTGAATTAGCGTTTTTGGTAACCTAATTCAGCTCACTCAGGCTTTTAGCGAGCGCTGATTGCTCGCTCATCGCGTTGCTCATCGTTACAGCTAATCGCTAGTTGTGACCTTCTGAAAGTAAAATTGACAAATTTTATGTGTCATATACAATCTTTACCATCTCTTCTTGCATCTTACAAATAAAAATTATCATTATAGTATCCCATTGTTTCATAATAACGAAAAATAGCATTTTAGCTGTAATGAGCTGCAAGCCTGATTTCTTCATAATGCCAAGGTCAATTAGATGAAACGAATCCCCTATTGCGAAATCCTTGACCATGTATATTGAAGGCCTCAGCAACGGTGAGTCGTTCTTGTGATGAGTCCCATAGATTTCATTTCAGTTCCACATTAGCAAACGTGTCTTCCTCCTCATACTCAGAAGCACTGAAAAGGTTTTCATTTGTCAAACCTAAATCAATTAGATTATGTGCGTTTACATAAGTGCCAACATCATTCCTGGTATCGAATTTTCCCAGTATTGTATTCTCAGCATCCGAAACAACTGGATGTGCAGGCGTTGCATCCAAAGCTTGATGTTAATTTATGGTGATGCTGTTCTGCGTCGAAGAATCCATTATTTGTTGATTTGTCTTCACTTTTCTTTTAAATGTTCCACTCGATTTATATAATTTCCATGCACTCATAATGAAATTTATGGTTATTTATAACGATTAACAGAGTATTTTCTGTTATTTCTGTGATGTACTACCTATCTGTCAATCTTATGATAGTTGTATTGTGGATATATTGAAGTATTATTAGTGCTTTAAGTTTTATAATGGTCATGAAAAAGTATGTCATAAAACTTAGTTGCATGCTTTACTCTTCAGTTTTAAAGAGGGATACAGAACCACCTTAGAGTCACAGTTAAAACTATAAAGGTCGAGTTTTAATTTGGTAGTTAATAAATAGTTTTAAAGACTACTTAGAGGCCTAATTTTATAACCGCCACATAAAACCATAATACAACCATAGGCTGCCAGCGATGCTATGACAAATCAATAATAAAATAAGCAAGCATTTCGATTGTTACTTGGTTGCACACGGTCGATTTAGCCGATTTCAACGACTTCACGATTTTTTAACCTGACCACGTCAGATTTTCCAATTAATTTACAGTTCGCAGCTTTAATCAATTAAAACTTTTTTTAAACAAAATGAATCGTGATGAACTTTTCAGCACTGAAAGAGGAATCCTTTCAAAACAAACTGCTGTCAAAACATTCCAGATCTTACCACAAGGAGCACTGCAGGAATTTTAACAGTGCGTCCAGATATTAAATGACTGAAGCTTTATGTATCAACTTTTGTTATTTAAAACGTATTTTGAATACAATTTCTTGAACTATTCTTTGGTATTTTAACTCTAATGTCAGGCTAATCAACACAAAATTTTGGTATCAGAAACTGAATTAGGTATTCATAAGTAATTTTCTCCGTTAGCTCAGTTGGTAAAGGCACAGTTACAAAGCAAGACCATGCTGGAGGTGGCATGGTTCAATGCCTGGTTCGATCTTGGAATTTTTTGGGTTAGAAAATGTCTTGGCTTCCCTAGGGAAAGAGTATGATTGTACTTGCCACACAATTATATTAATGCAAAAATGGTGCAGGCATAGAAAGCTTTCAATTAATAACTGTACAAACTGCATCTAGCACACTAAGTTGGGAGCACGCAATAACCTAATATGCGATTAGATATTGCTTTAAACGCAATGAAGAAGATGAAGAAGGAGGTAAGGTTGTAAATTGTTATAAAACCGAATGTAATGAAAATCAAAATTTAATCATTTATCTTTGAGGCCTGAACGAGAAAGTTACTTGCAATATTGATAATCGAGTCCGACCTGTACACACATTCCGGTGTTTAAAAACTGTCCGTGCTGAGGTGATTTCCTCTGCCCTGACTTCGCCGCAGTGCCTTCCGTTATCCT